CTGAATTTTCATGATGTGCCGATCACTTCTTTCAAAACATTTCTGCAAGGTAAAGCTTTCTTTTTTCACGTGCCATTCTAAAATGATTGTGAGATGTTTATAGTCTTCCGTAGTTCGAGACAAAAAATAAGTAGCACCGAAAAACTGTGTGATCATCTGCTAATATTCCGTGTAAAATTCGAAGCGATTTGAAGAAATCGTCTCTAAGCGTTGAACGACAGAAGATGTTCTGAAACAAACAAAAGCCAAGAGCGAGGAACATCGCGTAAAACTCGGCACACTTCGTTATGAACGAAGAGGTCGTTCGTATTCTATCGTTACACTCATTCACCCAACAGGACTGTGTTATGGCTACGCCTCCTTAGGAGGCAGTAGCCACAAAAATTACACAAAATGTGATGAAAGCAGATATTCAAGGACCTTAGAAAAGAAGAAATAGCTCGTGGAACAATTTAAAACTAACTGCTAGCAAACTGACTACTTCCTTGAAAAGTTACTATGAAGATTCCGAGACACATGCAAGCTTCCACGGTTTTGGCAGGAGATCGTGTATACAGTTTCTAAAAAAGTTCGACCCCTCAAGACGTAGAAAAATTTGTATGTTATAATATGGTCTAATTTTCGCTGTCTATCCGTCAATTCCATGATTGAAAAAAGATGCTCGACTCGAAAAGTTCAAGGTCATGATCCGAAACGTGCAGTAAAACATAGCCGATCTGTTATCTATCCAATATAATTTTCTCTGTCAATTTGTAAATAACTTTACTAAATAGGGATAAGAATCTCTAACCGACGAAAAGGCAGATTGGGATAAAAATAGGTCCTTTTCTAATGCTCTCAAAGGGAACTCTTTTACCGTCTGTCAAATTGGAAACATTGCAAAATGTTGCAAATCAACTGAAGTGCTTGTGTCGTAGAAAGATACACTAGCCGTAGAAAGATCCACTAGCCGACAACTGGATTTATATTTCCAGTAGCTGTTTAACTTGAAGTGTCAGATTAATTATATTCCTTCGTTCGATATCTTAATCTTTTTAAACTCTCTTTGGCACAGCTTTATACGTATCAAATGTGGATGCTTGTGAAATGGCTGTTGTTTGTTGCCTGCAGAGAGAGACACTGGGGGAATATGCCATTAGACTAACTTGGTAGAATTTCAGGCCCTTGGCTTTCCGCTGAGGTAATTAATCAGTAATTCCTTGCTGACTAACCTTTGAGCTCGTTTTAGGAGATATAAACAGTTGCAGAGAGGAGAAAAGTAACAGCAGTTTTGAGTTCAAGTTTTATAGGAATACATAATGAGATAAAGTTATGATGTGGAAGAAGTCCATTTTCCCAAAAGCATGCCTTCAAACTTTCATCACAATGGGCGTACCCACATTCCAGATGAATATCTTATCTCCATCGTCTCTGGGCTGATTGTCTCAAATGTGATTAAGGTCTCCTTATCGTTAGACTTTTTCGGCGAAGGATGATGAAATAACAATTCCTAGATTTCCAACGCAACACTGATATTGGATCTGCGTGCCCGATGTATCTTCACTCAATCAGTAAATCAAGAATGACTTGATCTAAGTGATGGTTTTTCAAAAGGACAGTTCTTAACCTTATTAATGACACGTAGCCTTCAAACATGCTAACTAAGATACAATTAACTTTCATCTATTCATGGTACTAACTGACTCGAAGAGTGATTTTCAACTCTTTGAGTAGTCATTACCGTGATCCAAGACCCTGTTGTCTAATCCTTAGAAGAGGTCCCAAATGTTGCTATTTATTATACTTAAAACTGTATGAAACAAAAAACTTAGATTGCACGTTTTGTGGTTCTGAAGGGGAAACTAGTTATATAAAGAACATTCTTTTCAAGTTACAATTAATTCGTACATGAACCAAAACGAATGAATTAACCTTCAGAAGAGAAACCAGATATACTCAAGCATTAAAAAACAATGAATGGCTTTTGGAAAAACAAAAAACTTTAAAGCAACTTTTTGAAAACGAATGTACTTTGGCACAAATTTGATAAACAATTCGATCCACTTTTTCATGAAATCCAGGCGTTTGAGAAAGGACTAACGAGTTTGTTTGGGAATACATCCCGGGAGGAAAACCAATTGCAGTTAACCGTAAATTATCGTGAAAAGCCTCAACTTATTCCGAGAACTTGGTTAATATCAGATAACATGAATTCAAAACTTAATTGTACCTTGGAAACTAATTCAGAAATAAGCGGTCGTAACTTGAAAGACGGTTTCCTAAACAGAATCCAAAATGAACTTCTTCAGAGTTTTAGTCTTAGGTGAGGTAGTGAGAAGTTTTCCCAGGTAGATCTTGTCCAAAATTATCCCAACAATTTCACATAATTGGTTTACCAGTAAAAAGTAACTCGAGGAATGTAATGAATTCGTTGAGCTGCCTCAAAAGAACCCTTGATTGAAAACTTCAATGACAAGTGAGGAGCGAGTCACTGAAAATGAAACTGACCAATTTAAACTAATTTTTATCATTACCAGGAAACATTTAGGCTGGCCTAAAATGAAACCAGTACTTTGCAGCCAACCTGGAACTTTTGTAGTACTCTGTCTCAACGCTGCTAGTCTAGTTAACTAACTTAGAACTGCCGCCACTCACTTCTTTTTTGAGTTAATGAGTAAGGGTGGTTCCTTGCCGTTTCACCCTTGAACTCGTTGACGATAACGAGAACGGTTAAAAGCGTTATTTGGTTTATTGTTTGGATACAGTTAGTAGATTTTGGATCTTAGTCTACACGTTTTTATCACTGCTTAGCGCGCCCGGCTCAAAATCCGCATTTAGTTTCCTTGATCTCACAAAGAATTCATAGAGCAATGCACTAATTAATCTTTATTAATCCATTAACACCTTAAAAGAAGTGATAGAACTTCAGAGAGTGAGCTCCTAGCCTTGAAAATTACAGGTGGCACAAGAACATATCAAGTGAGACCCGACATAGCATCTCTCTGTCGTACTGACACGAAAAGTCTTCATATTCTCACTCAAATTATCGTTTTGTGATGAAGATGATGTTGAACCACCGCCAGAAGTCCATCAAATTTCTAGAAGTACCTCATGATTACTTTACGCACAGTATAAAACTCTTAAATAGTAATATTTCGTTTTCAATTTTAACTCAAATGAAGCATACAGCAAATCAAGACTCAACTGCCTCAACAGATCAAAGCAGAACTCTCGACCAGCAACAAGCAAGTAATGTATACCGTAAATGAATTAAAACTTGAAATATAGCTGTGATGAAAAACAACGTACTCACCGTTAAAAAGAAAGCAATGAGCAACCAAACAAAGCAAATAAACGATAATCTGCATTTTAAACAGCAGGAGTGGTTCTTTTCAGCAACCCACAGTTATCTTTTAAGTTCAACACTTCCTTAGAGCGCTTTACGAGTGAGTGACTTAAAACCAAACGCAAAGTATTTATTACAGCCTCTTAGGTAAATAAGAATATGGCAGGAGACCAATAAGAACTCGAATTATAGCCTGTTAAGAAGGTGATGTAAGATTTCCAGATCAATTACGGACGGAATTGATTGATTAATATGAATTAAAATCTCTTTCTCGCACACTGAAGTTGTAAGTGTCTTAAGCTGAAATTCCGCTCATGACCTATTGAATGAACATAAAGTAATCAGTTCATTTATTGTATCGATACCTGGAATGAAAACTTAGAAATTTGTACAGATTTCCTCTCAAAAAGAAGCACAGAAAGTAATATGTAGTAAACGGATTTGCAAACTAAAAAACAAAAAATAGAAATCAAATACTTAGTAAAAGTAATTGATGATTGCGAATGGGTACTTGAATTAATTTGATTTATGTCTTACGGCAGATTCCGTTCGTGATTCAGTCCAGCCTTCAGGCACAAAAACACATCAAAAACGACCGCCCGCTAGGAGCACAATAACCAATTAGGCTGCGTCGTACATAAATGAAGAGTTGTAAACTTTCCAGTTTGTGGGTTGTTTATTGACTTGTCAAAGCTTACAGTTCTTTCTCGAGATTTTTCAAGTATCGGGTTATTAAAGTGCCTATGACACGAATTTTTGTTTGTGTATTTTTTTTTTGCGTAAATATTTAGCTCATCATATGTACCAATTAATTCTAATAGAAGAAAAATTTCAAAAAACTTAAAAGTCAGTTTTTTCGGGCCCTAAAGTGCTCTTATTTTGTGTTAAAAGAGTCCCGTGGACAGGAGTAATGAATCAGTGGGTGATGATGTAGAAAACTGTGAAAACTCTCAGTTGACATCTCTCACATCTCAGTTGTAACTTCATATCAGTCAGCGTTGAAATACTCTTGAAATAGTATCCGATACCGATGTCCGAGGAGTCTACCTACCTTCAGCAAGCTCTACCGAGAGTTGTTATACACCGTACTCAGGCAGTAAAGAAGAGATAGAAGTCGTAAGTACGATTCAGCCCTACGAAGGAGAACCGCGTGCATCAAACGAAAATTTTCAGTCGATGAAGAGTGACAAAGACGGTTTCTCGCCCGCGGTGTTCAGGTCAAGATTAGAACAAAAAAACTCCTGTTACTAACTGTTTAGTTTGTTGCGTTTGTGCTTTGTTTTCTATAACGAAATTTATGTTAAGAATGGGTAGCTGTGTTCGTTTATGTTGCCATAACATTTTATTCCTTCGCACTAAGTACGGCGAAGGTTTCCCTTGGTCAGTGCTCTAGAGTTTCGTTGCTGTAGAGTAATTCCCTAGAAAACCTAAAGCTAACCTTTGACGAAAGAATCAGCTGTATCACGAGGCATGATGATTTTTCGCCGAGAAGTTTATAGTTATCTGATTCTAGTTAATCTAAAATAGGGATTTTAATAGAGAAAAACTTCATTAGTTTAAGTGCAGCATTGCCATATGACCCATTTCGCTCGATGGCAAATAACAGACACCAGTATTGTAAATACATTTGTATTCCGGATTCGACATAGGCTGTGAGCCAATGTGAGTTTCCTACTTCCGATTAGACTGCGTCTTAAAATCCTCATCAATCTTATATCGTATCTTAAAATACCATCAAAGCAATCAGACAATTTTGTCTTATTATCTTGTTCTCGTGCAGCGTTATAAGCCTGGCCTCGCCAATACTTGTCGTTCAATGTGATTATAAAGCATTCCGTTATAACGCCTCATTCGCCTATTTCCCGTACCTCTCTTGGATTAATATTTGTTCCTGAGAAACCGAGCTCGAAGCATATTAGGCTAGCCTTGAATTTTCTACTTCTAGATGTAAAAAACAGTGCAACTCACAAAGCAGTCCGCTGATACTGAAATAAACTGAGTGCGAATACAAATAGGTAGACCAAGATCATCCCATCAAATTTCCTATTATTGATTTACTAGCTTCTTCTCGACCAACATACATGTTCTGTTTTGTGATGCATCTCAAGTAACCAAAGATTACCGACTTTAGAAAATGAAATAAGATTCATAGAATATTTGAGTACTAATTAATTACCAGATGAAGAAAAACGTAAAAAAAGCGACATCTTTAAGCGAGGTGGAACACAATCAGACATATTTCTTAGCGAGAAAGAGAAGCCAGACAGGAAAAATACATTTGTATTTCGGATTCGACACAGCCCGAACGTAAACAAGAATAACAATGTAAAACACCTGGTGCTTCTGAGAGGTTTCGGGGTTCGATAAATTTACGTCAAAATTTCCTGAGTATTTGAAAAAAATTCGTCAATCGTCAAGCAATAAAAAAAGTAAACTTAGTCATCCGTATGTTCTTACAATGTGCTACGTGGGTTTTTTTACTGAGGCAAAGATTCCTCAGTGAATATTTACTTGTATCCTCTAGACGCACAAATTTGTGTAATATCGAGATGGAGTTGGTAACTCTTATCAAATCCAATTGAGTACTGGCTGAGTATTTGAACCGTAAACAGCAGTAGTTGGAAGAATGAATCTCAACAAAAATAGCCCTTGGCCATCAACGAAGGATCGAGGATTCAAAACACGCCCACGCGTATACCAAATATAGCTCTAATCCTTAGTGAACAACGCACGAGTGAAATTGGTGATAGCTCGCAATTCTTCCAAAGAAGAAAAGCAAAGTAGCCTATTTGAGAGTACCCTGTTTGTGCTCCAAAAATTTTCTAATTGGAACAAAGGTTTGGCTTTACACTTTTGCTCTCCAATTATTAATCGAGGAACGAACGCGCTTACCTCTTCAGACATCCAGGATATACTTATTGATATGTCTGCTGAAAGGAAAAGCTTCTGTAGCAATTAAATCGCCTTAGTTCTTCTTATTACGCTGTAGCGGAATTAACTTAAGAGATGCGGAACACAAATTTGCGAGCGGGCGGAAAGTGGAAAAAATTAATATTCATATAAATCTATGCGTCTTTCCTTCCAAATTTCATAATTTTTCATAAATAACTGAGAACAGATTACAGTGCGAATATAACTTGCTTTTGGAAAAATAGATTTCTTCCCTTCAGAAATAAAGCTATTACGGCTGTTGACAATCACTGAGACAAGGACTTGCACAGTAAACTTGACTTTAACAGGCGTTTTAATCTACGGTCTTGGCACGACCAGGTAAACCAAATTCTCACTAAAATACTGACCAAAATAAATTCGTTGTGACAAAGTACTGTGTTTTTTGTGATTAAGCGCTACACTGGCTTGTTGTGACCAAGCACAAGTTTATTGTGACCAAAGAAAGCTTCACAACACAGTTCTATTTAAGCCTATTGCAAAGGGTGATATTATGAATTATCCAAAGTGCAGTTTCCAGGTTTAATTTGAATTTTTCAATAGCATAAGTACAGTTAACTTAACAGCTAAACATTCTCTTGTAACAGCTTATTACATAAACATCAATAGATTCTACTCGTGAAACGTGCAGTCCGATAGAATGGGCAAAAATTCTTGTCGCAATGAATGAAAGGCGGAGAACTGAAAGGTAGATTGTTACATAATGTAAGGGAGGGTAAGAAATGTGTTCTGATGGAGTTTGTCGAATGCAGTTACCGGAAGTCTGCTCGTAATTCTTCTCTATGGGAAATCTAGTCGTAATAATAGTTGTTCTTACACCTCGTTCTTTCACAGTTCGCTACAAGCGCGTAGCAAAGACGATCGCAAACCTCGTTCTTCTCGCTGAAAAGCTAGAAAGCCCGCCGCAGACACGCTCTAAAGAAAAGGGGCATACACATGTCATATGTCTCCTTCTAACGAATTATTTTCAGCCATAAGGTAAGAGCAATGCTACATAGAATAGCACTTCCTTGTTTGTTAAAAAAACTTCTCTGAACGGAGACAACTAGAAGGAACAATCCCCAAATTATACTTAACAGCGTAAACGATTATGACTTGAAAGCATAATTATTGTACAAAGCCTTTAATCCTTGTTGTTAATTTTTTTCCTCTACTCAAGATTTCCTCGCAGTTTACTGATGAAAAAACGCTCGTATTTTATTATGTTCTCAGTTATTTACAAAAAAATTATGAAATTTGGCACGAAACCGAAGAGTTAATTTGACCTCATGTGAAGATAGGTCAAGGTAAGTTGAGAAAAGTGCGAAATTCCTTCTGTTTTTAATAAACAACTACTACTCTTGCCTCCAGGATGATGTATTCCTGTATGGCATCAGAAAAGAAGATTCTTGCCTATCATCCACTGTTTTTTAAACAACTTGAAAGTATTAAAAATACTCGATAATTAGTCCAAAATTTAAAAACTTTTCCATTGTCTTAGAGCGCGCAGCTTGGCATGAAACCAAAAGGGGAAATTAACTTTGTTACTAGGTTCTGGACAATTGAATCAATCGTGGAAGCTTAGTAGGTAGCCGAAAATCTAATTAGTTGAGGGAAGTATTGAATTCTTCAACGAAATGAAAAGCAACTATAACTACCCTTGTTCCCAGGGCAGGGTAACTCCGCATTTTGAAGAAAAATAATCCCTCCTGATAATTTATCATTTCGTGAACAACTCCGGAGAAATAAAAATACTAGGAAATTATTCCGAACCTTAAGATCTTTTTCATTAAAGTGTAGGATGAAAGTGAAAGTGGACGTGATTCAATTTAGAATATTTTTCCTCCTTCTCAACGCACTAGGACTAGAAAGTAGCTGAGTCCATGGAAAAAGAGAACAGCATCGTACTCTCTGATTTAATGAACTGCGAAACCATCAACCTTCAAGGAAGGCCTACGCTGAAGCATAGGAGTTTTTCACCACTCAACTCCGAACGACAAACGAACCCATTTTACATGTTCTAAAAAAGCTGTAATTTTTTTTTAAGTAATAGAGTTCTGCTTAACAGAGGAACTCCGATCAGATATGTTTACTGCTCAAAAAATCGCAAGAATGCGAGACAAAAGAGAGCGTGTGTATAGGTCATACATAAGTTGATTAAAATAGTTTGTATGTCAAGTGCCGCTTTGATTTTGACGACCTGGGTCCAAAGGTTCCGTCTTTCTTGTCAACATTTCATTGACTGATATTATAAGATGCATATCAACAGCAAATGCTTTTAGAAAGAACTAGAATTGGCACATTTCCCTTTCCCGGGCACCTCGCCAACCAAGCTGAAATTTTCAATGCGATCAGAAACTTGACTCAATTTTCAGCTAGGAGCGAATGGGATTCTGGTCCAGCTGTGTAATCGGCTGAACCCAATTGCAGGGATTC